GTACAAGGGAAGGACTAGCCACCACCGCAAGGCTGCAGAATACTTCCTGCGACGAAGATAGAGATGTCGACAGAATCTTCCTAAGACTGTGGCCGGGTCCCCAACTAAAACAACGGGCAGCCGGTGTCTGGCTCAGAATCGGTTGCCGCAGCAAGGCGTGGCCAATCTTGACCTCCAAGTCGGCCGGCAGACGGCACACAACCAGGCCATCGTCGGTACAATGGAAGGTCTAGCCACCACCAGCAAGGCTGCAAAATACTTCCAGCGACGAAGCTAGAGATGTCGACAGACTCTTGATAAGACAGTGACCAATTCCCCGCAAAACAACGGGCAGCCGGTGTCTGACTCAGAATCGCTTGCCGCAGCAAGGTGTGGCCAGGAGCAAGCCAGGATACATACCAACCCTGCTCTACCGGTTCTCTGAGTCAAAACGAGCCGGACCGCCTGAACAAAGCTCAGCGGAGCTTTGTCTGCTCACTTTCTCCACCCCAGGTTTTCTTGGACTGCATGGATGTGAGTTAGATAACGGGAAGCACCTCTGGCATCTTGGAGATGCTGGTAGAGCGCGACGTCACGCGACGGCCAGTGAATTTAAAGTTCGGGGGGCCATTCCATGCTTCAGGCCGACCTGTCCGACTTCAATGACTTGCTGTGCAGCAGCACGCGCAAGCAACACACTCAGAACATCCCATAATGGCGCTTCGCCGCATATGCGCAGTTTTGCTTGTCATCTGTTTTCCTCTCCGGCGCCGTCAACGCGAGCATCATGCGCATCAGACGTCCCCTGCAGTCGGTTGGCGAGATGCTTCATGAATAGGACAGGGCCGGACAGAGCCCATGATGACGATGCAGCATCATGAACAACATCGCTCTCTCGCTTCGTTCGTGTCATTCAACTCATGAGTTGCTGGTCCCTTCCTAAGGTAGGCTAGGCATGAGTTTGCGCTGGGGCTCGCTCTTCGTCCGGCAACATTGCAACGAGTCGCACTTGTGCTTGACTATAGTCACAACATTGCACATGGTCCCAGCTATGAGCCCATGCTAGTCAGAAGCAAAGGCGGCACACGGCACAGAATCAGGCCATCGTCGGTACAAGGGAAGGTCTAGCCACCACCAGCAAGGCTGCAGAATACTTCCGGCAACGAAGCTGGACATGTCGACAGAATCTTCCTAAGACTGTGACCGGCTCCCCAACTAAAACAACGGGCAGCCGGTGTCTGACTCAGAATCGCTTGCCGCAGCAAGGCGTGGCCAATCTTGACCTCCAAGTCGGCCGGCAGACGGCACAGAATCAGGCCATCGTCGGTACAAGGGAAGGTCGTGCATCCCACAGTTTGCAAACGAAGGCAACACTGAAACGTCCGGCAACACAGTCACTAGCAGCTCCCGTCAACATCGCGATCGCAGGCACGCCAGCAGCAAACGTACCTGCTGATCATAGCAGTACACCCTCGGCCATAGGATCCTCCACATGGTAGCTCGTGCAGTTATCGAAGGGTCTGGTGCGATACCTGACATCCTGGCTTTGGCATCCGAGTGGCTTGGATGCATCGTAGCCTGCACTCGGCAAAGTGTTCAGGTGCGGCGTTTGATCGAGCTGCCGAGGCCTCCTCACCAGAGCGAGAGCTGTCGTGTGCCTTGGTGAAATTGTGCGGACCAATGACATGCCGTCTAGCCGACTGAGTTCACAGCCTCTTGTCGAATGTGCGGAATCAACGGCAAGGTGCAGTCCTCGGCAGGGGCCATGATGCGGCGGCTGCTGAAAGAGAACCGCTACCTCTTCGAACAAACCAAAACAGCAGGTGCGAGGCAAGAGGTCAAGACCAAGTCGCGTTTCGAAGCTCACCGCCATAGCAGCCTCTGTGATTCCATCCGATGTGCAGATAGTCACAACTGAAAAGATGGTACAAAGGTGCTAAAGCGATGCCTTATTTTTGAGGCTCCGACTATCATTCGCGATGGGAAATCCAAGATGAAGCAAATGAACTCCTGGCACAACCCTGGGCATGCGCACCTAACTCAAGCAACACATTCCGAGATGAAGTACTTGTCGCTTTGCAACCCATAAGCTGGGCGAGATGCTGATCTGATGAGTTCTTCCCGTTGCTGGATAGCAGCGGACCTCGGCACATCCAGTCTTCTCCGACGCCTCGGATGCTGAGAGATGCTGAGTGCACCACGATGGATTCATCCTCCGAGGCCATGCCTACGAACTCGAACTCCGTGGCGGCATCCTGGCAGTGCGGCGCAGTGGGGCCCATCAGAGCTCCAAGGAAGTCACAGGCCTTGGCGTCTTCGCCTGCTACAGGCGCTTCCGCGGAGAACTGGTACTTGCCGACCTGAGCGACTCTGATTCCCTGTGTGCCCGGCTGTGGCTTCCGCTGAGGCCTTGCGATCGATGCAGCGGATGTAACCCGCAACCTTGCCAAGCTTTGCAATGCTTTGCAGAGCCTTGCAAAACCCACTTCAAGCAGCGAACGCTTCGAGTCACGACCTGAGAACCCTTGCATGGATGCGCTCATCCTTGCGGGTAGCTCCCAGAGGCAAGTCACCTGCCCGGGCGCTAAGTCCCTGCCGGTCTGTGGCCAGCTCGAGCTGCTGCGGAAAAGAGCTGAAGGTAACTGAAGGCCTTTCAGGAGTTGCTCGAAGCAGCCGCGCACACGAGCGAGGTAGGTCTTCCGGATCTGGTTGGCAGCAAACCAAGTGCCAACCTCAGCTCCCAAAACGACGTATGACCTGCGCACCCTGGTCACTGGAGCTTTGGGGGAGGCACTCTTCGAGCTGCTTCCTTGGTCTTAGCCTTGGCAGCTGAGGAAGCAACCAACTTTCTCACCAAATCCTCAGCATCGAACCAACAAGACGAGACCACTCGTCAAACGATCCAGACCTCAGCTGGAAAAGAAACGAGAAAGCCCCCTGAGAACACATTGACGTGCCCTCAACGAAGATCTGCACGGTGGGTCGTGTGCAAAGCTGCATCTGCCTCGAGGCAACTCTTGGTTAAGAGACGAGCGGGGGGTGGCCCATACAGCTCAGAAGGTGAGGGTTCCGGAATAGGACTCCGCGCCTCCACAGTGCCCTGGTTGCGCAAGATGGCGATGAGGGAGTTAAAGCCTTAGTCTTTCGGCGATTCAAAACGAGGGTCTCTCAGATTGGGGAAAACTGAGCTTAGGTCGGTAGCTCCCACAAGGGTGGATGGGGAGAGAGCTGGGCTTGCTCACGACGAGAAGCGCCTCAAGACTCCACCAGCCGTCTTTGGCGATGCCAACGCCCTCCCGGAGCCCGGAGCCTTCGTCTCTTCCACCACCTCATCTCTCTTTGACACGTGCAGTTTCAGGGACATATAAAAACCTGAGATGACCCCCGAAGCTTCGCCGCCGAGCCTTGATCGGACCACGATCCAGGACTGGGTTCTCTCGACAGCGCACAGCACGGTGCACCTCAGGCCCAGGCAGCTCCATTAGGATTCTTCTTCTGTGAGTCGGTTTCAGGGCAGGCTCGGGTCAAGGCAGGGGTTCCTCCACCACATCAACATAGATCAGAATTTCATTCTTCGGTAGCAAGCCCCTACGCCTCTCAACTGATGAGGCTCCAACTTCGGGCACCCCAACATGCAGGAGAGAAGACACCGGTCTTGATTCACAACGAAAGGTGGGTAGTCCGTGATGCTCTCACGTTTTTCGCTCCCAGAGTTCGTTGAGAGCTCCGCACCCAAGCACCAAGGGCTGCTGATCTTCCTACACGCATGAGGCTTCTTTGATCCTGGACTCCGGAGGAGAGGCTGCCGCCCCTAACTGGAAGGTCCTCAAAGGACCACGGTCCTACCAGAACTAAGGAATCCTGCAAAGCTGTCATGCACATCACCAGAGTTTGCCTCCTGAGATGCGCACAATGCGCTGGCCATCGCGCAGGACATGTCCGGACTTCACTGCCTTCCCGTCGACGGTGACTCGCCCAGCCTCGATGGAAGCCTGGCTCTCAAAACCGTTTTGTACAACTACTTGTGGTTTGGCGGTGGCCTCGTAGTAGTCTCGCGGAAAAGCCACAAACTCGCAAGCGCACACCTGCAAGCGGACGAATGTGTAGTGCACTTTCGGCACTTTCCTACCTGCAGCAGCGAGCCTCGAGCAGTGTCCTGCCTATCCAACGCTGCCTGGAGTGGATGATGCGACAGGTACTGACTGAATCACGTGCAGATGCCAAAAGCTGGCTTGGTTTCAGACTTGACATGTGTTGTGAAGTCAAAGTCGTATGGCCTTGGCAGCGTTCGTCTCGCTGCAGCACGCTGTTCTGCTGCTCACAGCTGCTCTCCGCCGTTCTCAGCTGCATGCTCCACATGCCGCAGTCCCCCCTGCACCCGGTATGTGACCTTGCAAACGAAACAAGCTTTTCAGCTTTCCATCTTACTTCGTGTTCAAACAATTTCAAACATAAGCCGCTAGCATGTTCCGGACCCGTAGCAGCGGCACCGCCAGAAAGTCGCCCTGAAATCACTTCGCACACTGTGCCACCGTAAGAATGACTCACACTCATAGACCTCGCTTTGTTGTCGGGTTCGATGCAGATTCCGCAACCTGGCCGGATGAAATCGGCAATGTCCCTCTCAGCCTCTCCACCAAGACACTGAGAAAGAGGCCGCTATCTCGCTGTCTCCCACATCCTGTCGGCCTGATAGTTGGGACATGGATCCGAGGAAGCTAAGTCATACACTCTTTGTGCTCTTACCTCCGTCGGAGGAGTGCTCCGCCACCAGTTTCTTCTGGCCGTCCTGGGTAAGGGCCCCGGTGACCGAGGAGTTGGAGGCTTCCAAGATCCCTGCCTGGGAGTTCTCCTCCCCGTCGGCTTGCCGCTTGGGCATCGTCCACGCATCGTGAAGGCACTTGTCAAAACTTCGCTGTGCTTATGTAAGGCTTCAGGCCAAAAACTCCCCTGGATAGGCTGTCCGAAGTCGACCGTGTCATGCCGAATCAGACAGATTTCCGTGTGTAGAGACTTGAGCAACGAGCTTTGAACACGCTCGACATTGCAAGTTTGAGGTACAGGAAGCTTCTACGCTGGACGGAGTCGCACCGAACAGTTTTAAACGCGACGCTCCTAGCATCAGCTCAACAACGAGTCCAGGCATACCAAATGCCCTCCTCACGATGACGTCACACGAGCTCTGTGCCATATACCTGTGGCAAATAAGGGAAGGAGTCCATTCGTCAGGGGGCGAGGCGCTTGCAGGAACGAATCCCTGTGCAGTTGAATGAGATGCTGCTCCATCGTCTCTAGCCGCCACCTCAGGGGCCTTAACGGCGTCCACCCACGGCTGCACGCCTGAAAGCAGCTAAGCTTGGAGATTCTTACATGGCCAGCAGGCTCGTGGTGCCGGGTATGACGTGAAAGAGAAAGCTTTTCGCACTCCTACGGTTCTGCTCTACGGTTGGTCCCTTTTGTCTGGTACTCCATGGCCGAAGGCGGAGTTTCTCCAAGAAAAAAGAAGAGCACTACCACTCAATGGACCCAAACACCCCAAAAGCTGAATGATAGCTTTGTAATACCGCTGCCTTGGAGGGGACGGTGTTCGACGTCGCGGACGGCGATCCTGGGAGGGGCAGGCTCTTCCTTTTAAGCTTTCCTACTCTCGCAGCTTCCGCCTCACGGCCGCTGGATCGACGAGGCCTGTGGCTCGCAGGCGGCTTGCGCTGAGTCTTGGCAAACGTATGAAACATCGCCAAGCAGCGGATCCCGCGCGGCTCCTCGGTTTCCATTGCCTTCCGTCCTGCTGAAGCTGGTGCTGGCTTGGTGGTTTTTTTTGCGGACTTTCGCACCTCGTACGGGAAGGAGGGTCTGTACGACCTCCATGCAAGCAAACATTGCGCGCTTGCTTTGGAGCTTACGCTTGGCTGAACTCAGAAGCCCGAACTCAAAAATCTGCATAGTATGTGTATATATACAGATATATATATATATGCTATATATATATATAGAGAGAGAGAGAATTATATATATAGAGAGAGAGAGAGAGTATCCTATATATATATATACATACTATATATACTATACATACTCTCTCTCTCTCTCTCTATATATATACTATATCTACTTTATACACTATGTATCCTATATATATATATATATGCTATATATACTGTATATGCTATATATACTATATATACTATATATCTCCTATATATACTTTAGATACTACATTTCCTTTTTATACTATATATACTCGGTATACTATAAACACTATATATACTATATATATATATACACACACAGTCTATCTTTATATATATATATATACATATATATATATGTTCATACACACACACTGTACATATATTCTGTGTATACTCTCTCTCATTCTGTGTATACTGTA